ACTTATTCAAAAGAAAATAAATTACTAGTGTGTCATTATAAGGCTGAGCCAAGGTCTCGATGTCCTTTTCGCTGAATGTGAGAGCATCCTCTAGTATGTAACTCCGAGTTTGCTTTCCCCTGGTGATAAATATTTTTGTTCGCTTGACCACGGGTCCTTTTGGGGTGTCGACCTCTCCAATGATCATGTGGATGACATGCTATGGTTCTTCTGGTTCGTTCTTCCTGTTGGCCACTCTTTCCCAAAACTAGTTTTTATCTCTGCCGCTAAGGAACTCTCGAAAGTGCCCTTCGCTGATCAGTCGGGCTACCTCTTCTCGAAGCTGTCTGCAATACACGGTCCTATGACCGCGAGTGTCGTGATATTTGTATATCAAGCTAGGGTTCCTCTATGAAGGATCTAATAGTATGGCTTTTGGCCAACTGGTATCTTTGATTTTACTTATGGCCGATACGATGTCCGAGACATCGACGTTAAAGTTGCACTCAGATAACCAGGGTGCCTCTACCGACCCAGTGTGCCTATGGAACCCAGATTTACTCATAAGTACCCGAGAACTTTGACCTCGATCTGTCCTTCGATCGCCTCGAGGTATATTTCGCCTCGGGGCATTTCTTCGATCTTCTACATACGACTGGTATCTTTTCTTGTTTGGCCTCGACTTCCTCTCTATAAACCTTTGTTCCTTTGTTAAGTGCCTACTTGGATATACTGAGCCAGAGGGGGATCCCAATTGGTCGTTCTCGACCTTGATCTTCGATTGATATCTGTTGTGTACATCTACCCAAGTCACGGCAGGATACTCAACAAGTTCTGCTTTAGCTGCTTCAAAGCTATCGAGCTTCACTCGTTCAAGCCCTAAGTGAAGGCCTGAACTGCCCAGTCATCGGAGACCGGTAGTAATTCCATTCGCTCCATCTGGAAGCGAGATACAAATTTCCTCAGCATCTTGTTCTCCATTTATTTGATCTTGAAGACGTTGTACTTCCTTATAGTAACCTTGATGGCACCGGCATGTGCCTTCACAAAAGAATCAGCCAACATGGCAAACAAATCCATCGAGTTCAAGGGTAGGTTATGATACCACATCATAGCTCCCTTTGACCGTGTTTCTCCAAATTTCTTCATCAAGATGCATTCAATCTCGTCATCCTTTAAGTCATTCCTTTTTATAGCACAAGTATAAGCGGTAATGTGCTCATTAGGGTCCGTGGTCCCGTTATACTTCAGGACATTGGGCATTCTGAATTTCTTCGGGATGGGCCTTGGAGCCGCACTTGATGGGAATGGTTTCTGCACGAACTTCTTTGAATCTACACTCTTCAGAATCGGGGGTGCGCCCGGGATCTGATCGACCCTCGAGTTATAAGTCTCCACTTTTTTATCGTTGGCCTCTATCTTCTTTTCTCCTGACTCGATTCTTTTAGTCAATACCTCGAGCAGTTTCATGATTGTGGGGTCAGTCCCCGAGCTAATTTCATCGAGTCTTTCTAGCACTGGCTCGTGCTGTATGTTTACTGGTTCAGTGTTGTTAGGGGTTCTATTCTGACATTAAAGTTAAGCGATGGCGACTTGCTGGGCTTACAGCATCTCGAATATCACTTGGAGGCTGACTCCTCCTTCTTCCATTCCTTGTGCTTTTTGGCCTCCAGCCTGGGCTTCCCTACATCCATTCCTTACGGCGTTTGCACCTGCTTTCGTGTTTAGAGCGTTGTGGGAGCTGATATCAACTGGCTCCACGTTTGGCACTCCCTCAAGGTTTACAGGAGGAACACCAAGCCCTATGCCACTGTTTTCTCCAAGTCCTTCTCTGTCCTGAGCATGTGCATTTTGTGTGATAGACATATTTTGGCCTGAAATCAAAAAAATCTTTGACAATAAAAAGTGTGAAGAATAACGTGTGTTATCAGAAAACTAGCACCAAAATAATCACTATTATTTTTAGCTCCACGGTGAGTGCCAAACTGTTTACCTTGAAAATTGTAATAACAATTATATTTGATTTATGGTTCTAAAAATACGTGATTTATCTTAATACTAGTTGTTATGTGAATAATGCTAAGTGTAAATGAGCAAGAAATGATAAGCAAACCAGTGTGGTCATAAGACTGAGGGCATCGAGCTTGGCGATGCAGGACCTCGAGGTCCGCCTTTAACGGATGATAATGAACAATAAATGAAAAACAATAAATGAACAAGTAATAAATTTGTAGAGTAATTGTTGAGCACGTTTAGGCAAGAAAAACAGAGAATGTTCTATTGTATTCAATATTCACGTGTGTTACAAAATGACAAGGGCCCCCTTTATATAGAAGGGGGAATCCCAACATATTACATGTCTAATAATGACGAGGAAATGCTATTGGTACAGTTGTGTAATGACCTAGTACAGATTTGTACTATTCTTGTAGACCTGGTTAGCTCTAACCACGTGTACTTGGGAGCTTTCTCGCCTTTCCATGACGATCATTGATTGGTACTGCTCTGAGATTGACCACAATGAACCTTCGATGTGCTCCCTCGAGGGACAGACCTCGAGGTCACATTTCGCATTCTGCTTCGAGCTTCTCGGGGTTGAGCGTGGAGATCCACAGTAGTCCCATAGTCGAACTACCCAATTTTGGCCGTAGACAGTATTACATTCAAGTTTTTAGCTTGTTGGCACATTGTGGCATTATATGAGACTTTTGGTAGTGTATGAGGTGGCTTATTGCATGATCAACTTGTACTGGGTGAGACAAGATTATTAGACATGTGATCAGTGCAATCAAATTTATATAAGGTATATTAAAGAGCAAATATCTTTGTCTAGTTCAGAATGAAGTAGTGCTTATTGTTAGGAGGAGAGACTCCATGATTTATGATTCGATAGATGGTTATGAGTTTCTACAAATTTCTTCCATCGTGGCAGTATTGCGAGAGTTGGAACAGGGCTTATATATGTTATGGGGTATACTACAAGCTTCGGTTATGAGGAAATTTCAGCTGTTGTGCTTGGGGAGATTGAGTCGGGCAAAAGTTATGTGGTGCATGGTGTGATTTCAGCGGAGGAGCATGGTCACGTTGGGTTATGTGTCAGGTGATTAATATGGTGTTCGTGTGTTAGAATCTGTATCGTGGAGAAACTCCAGATGTTGGAATTTGGATCTAAAGCTTGCTAGCTAAGATAACAAGAAGGATCTTCAGTCTGGCTAGAGCAAATATACTCAACTGGGTTGTGGTGGCATGGGTAGGTGTACGAGGTGTTAAACAGTGATTTTGGACAACTCCGGAGCAGTTCTTAGCACATTCGAGGACGAACGTATATTTAAGTGGGAGAGAATGTAACGATCTAACCGATCTTTTTGAGCTCTAGCGCGTCGTCGGCGGTTTGAGGCCTTGAGTAACTTCACTTCAGGTATTATGACTTGTACATGTGATCTGAATTGAATTTCAGGAAGTTCATAGTTGATTTGGAAAGAACACTCTAATTTCGGAAGGTTTAAGTTGGAGGAATTGACTTGTCACACCTCCTTTTTCTACCTCTCGAAGGGAGTATAAGGGAGTTTTTTCCAATTTAAGTGACAATAATCGAAACGGGATTATTTATTCAAATTCAGAGTCGCCACTTGGGATAATTTATGGTGTCCCAAGTCACCGGTTTAAAATCTCGAATCGAGGAAGTTTGACTCTGTTTTACAGTCCGTGAAACACAAAAATACGGGTAAGGAATTCTGTTAACCCGAGAGAAGGTGTTAGGCATTCCCGAGTTTTGTGGTTTTAGCATGGTGGCTAAACTATTATTATTGGCCTAATTATCTAATTAATTACATTTTTGAGACCTATGTGCATTTTTATCCCTTTTAAATCGCTTTTAATAATTTATGGAATTATTCTGGAACAAGTTACGATTGTCATACACTTATTTGTTTGGTATACATTGTGAATCATGTCACGGAAACCATACCTACGACCTACAACATGTTTAGTTATTAACAAGATTAAATTGTGGCCGGGTCACATAAATTTACCCCCGGATTTTAAAATTATGTACCACAACTACGTCACGGGAAACCGTACCCATAGCTATGACACTTTACTTAATTAACGCGCCTAAAGCAAACTACGAGAATTCAAAGCATTTTTCTACATTAATTAAGATAATTAATATGATGGCCATAGATTAGGTGATTCAATTGTGTGAATGACACGCCTCAGTTTCTTTCAAAGGAAACACATTCGAATTAAACGAACTAGGATATCTACACTTAAAACTAATTCAAAATTAGAAATCACAACTACACCACGGGAGTCGTACCCGTATTTGTGATGATTTAATTAGTGTCCAATGCAAACTACAAAATGCTCATGTTTAATTCAAGACTAAGTTTAAGATTATCGCGATGCCTATTGAATTATGGCTACATCTAATATAACGTTTTTGAGATATCAAATCCGCTCACTTGGATTGTAGAAAGGAATGGGCCAGCTTTTATTAAGTCCTTTAACATAAGGGCCCAAACACAAAGAACTCGTTGAACAGTGATGTCAACCATGGGAATATCGTGATACAATAGGGCCAAGCTAGCCAGAACCTGAGCATTATACATTAACCAATTTTTAATTAATTCACAAACTATAACAAGAGGATCAAACAACAACGTAGCAACTGATAACAAAATTGTCATGCATATCACATTGCTCACTTTAATGAGATAATATAGCTTCTGCACCTTTAGTCCTACTTTAACTTTTTCATAAATTTTATTCACCACCTAGATATACAACACCAAGCTTCTGTTTATGTTAACATCACACACATACGTATTAAAGAAGAAGGAATGATATTGACATATTTACAACCCATAATTGTGTTCATTTTTGTTTTTCACGGAATTTCATAACCTCACAACTGTATCAATTTCATAAGTGAGTGTTAAAGAACCAGTAGATTTGTCTTACACTAAGAGGACCTAAAGAATGAGATAAAACCCTTTTAATAAGACTGGATGCAATAGCAATAACCAAACTCCAGACATCATTCCCAAAGTCGCCATATCAAAGACTCAAATGACTCCAACATAGACCAAAAACCAAAATCACAGTGTACATACACTTGGTTCAGACATCTAACACCTTTCGCAAGATTCTTAACACAAACAAAATTCAAGTCCTAAAATTCATGTGTTACAATGACAACTTTTATACTCTAACACTGATTTACATCCATTGACTAATAGAAGAAGAGATATACAAATTAATAGAACTTAGGAACCAATTTCTGAAAAATCAATGACTAATCACATTAGCCTTAACACATGCATTGTCATATTCACTTCAAATTCCAGAGATTCAAAGGAGTACCTGGATACAGCAAAACAAAAACCAAAAATGTATTAAAAATCATCTTATAGCAGCAAAGCAATAATGGGTCCAACAACAAAGAACAGCAGTAACCATCAATTCAATAACCTCAATATCCAGCCATATTTCATCTTAGAAAAACCAGAAAAATCCCAAGAAAGACCACTTCTGAACTTTTTAGCCAAAGAAAGAAATCAAGCTCAAAACTAAAGTAGTTTTTTTGGAAAATTTTTCAGCCGTTTTTTTGGAATCCTCCCAATATCTGCCCTAGAAATCAAGAACATGAGCTTCTTATACGAGGGCTTTAGGGTGGCAAAACTTAATTTTATTCAATCCCTTTTAACCCTCAAATTTGTTCTTTTTACTACCCTGGACCCCAAATCAGCTGAGCTATATTTTTTTATTTGCATTAAGCCCCTCTCCTTATCCTCTAGAATCTTCTGTTGTTATAACAGAAACATTTTTCCAAATAGAAACCCCCAAACTAACCCCTGACAACCTTGCATTTATTTTTCAAACTAGTACCAAATTAGACCATCTGACCCAAAACTCAAAACCAAACCAGTGGGCTTTCTACTAACCTGGCCAAAAATAACAAAAAGCCCAAAATGCCTAACAGTAAACCAATATTAAGCCCTCAAGACTAGCTGGTTCATTAACCAAACCAAAAGTCAAATTGAATAATGAAAGTTGTAATCGACCATGAACTAAAACATGCTAAAAATGATTTAACACAACTGACTAATTAAAAAGTGAATAAAACTCGCTTGATAAGTGTTCTAAACTATCATGCAAACAAAAACCGATTGAGAAGAAGAGAAAGAAAGAAAAATAGAAGAGAAAACGAAAACAAAATAAAACAGAAACAATGAGTAGAGGTCCAGGATTTACCGATTGAATCTAGCAAAATGACCAAGAAAACAAGGCGGAGGACTGGCCAAGCTTCAAGATGCTTAGCTTGAAGTTGACCCAAATGACTACTCCAGTCAAGAGTAACCTATTAGGGCAAACTTCCAGCCAAAACGAGCAAAACTTCAAGAAAATACCAAAACTTGGAAATTAGATCAATCCTTTAGATCCAGGATTCGACGAGTTCCAAGGATTATTTGGGGAAATTGTTAGGGGTTTTGAGTTTGGGGAGGCCTGGTGATTATAGGATGTGAGCTTGGGGTTGATTGGGGTTGTGCCGCCGGCCGGTGTGGTTTGAGAATTTGGGGCAGCTAGGTTAGCTAGGGTGTGGGTGAGGGAGATGAAATGGGTGGCGNAGATGAGATTTAATGACCTTGGAAACAGTGTCATTTGGTGTAGGGTGGGGCTGGCTGGACCGGGTAAGGTTTGGGCCTGGATCGGAGAAGATTTGGGTCTAGCCTGGCCCAATTTCGAGTCTAAAACAGGCTTCTTTTTCAATTACCCTTTTCCTTTTGCTCTTGTTTTCTTTTTTCCCTTTTCCTTTTCTTTTAATTAATTAAAAATCTATGTTAATTTCCTAAATTAATTTGAATTGTAAAATTAAGCTAATTATCTAACTATAATATTTATAAAAATGTGTTGATCCTAAAATTAAAAGAGAAAAATTAATAATCCAAAATTTAAAAGCTAAGAATGTAAAAGTGAGCCATTTTTTTGTGATTTTCATTTTTAATAAAACAATTAATTAATTAATTAATTCTAAAATATGAACACAAAATCTATATGCAATGCATGGTATTTTAGTATTTTTCATGATTTTAATAAAAGTAAACATGCACAAAAATTCAAACAATTAACAAAAAATCCTACAAAAATCCTATGAAATTGCAAACAATTGGGAAAAATCCATTTCTTTTATTTGTAGGAGTATTTCATATAGGTTAAAATCACGTGCTCACAGCTGCCCCTCTTTGCTCGGAAACACGAAGAATTTTCGGGCAAAGATAAAGTGAGCAGATACGAGCGATTTTTGCCCGTTTGGATATTCTGTGAGAAGCATTTTTGAAAGATCTAACCAAACCTTGCTTCCAAGTTTGTTCTCCAGGTGGGCGCCTGATTGCCAAAATATTGAACTGTATTCCCTGGTTCTCCAGGTGGGCGCCTGATTGCCAAAATATTGAACTGTATTCCCTGGTTCTCCAGGTGGGCGCCTGATTGCCAAAACTTTGAGCTGTATTCCCTTGTTCTCCAGGTGGTCGCCTGATTACCAAAACTTGAACTGTATTTCTTAGTTTTCCTGGTGGGTGCCTGATTACAACAAAACAAACAAAACAAAAGAAACCTTTCTGCCCCAGTTTGGTATCTAGGCACATCTGTGAGTATTAATCGAACCTTGTTATCAAAAGAGCTATAAGAACTCAAAAGCTAAATCCCATTATCCAGGAGGACCCTGAAAATTAAAACTAAATCTCATCTTAAGAGTGAAAACTTCAGAGCTAAATTCAACTTCCTAAAGGTGAAACTTATGCTAAATCTCATTATCTAATAAAGGTCTTAAAACTAAATCCCATTATCCAGGAGGCTCCTGAAAACTTGAAATTAAATCCCATTATCCCGGAGTGTCCTGAAAAACTGAGAATGAACTTACCTTAGCCATGCTCTCTTCCTGGAGGATCTATGCAGAATGAACAAAATTACTTGCCCCTAAACCATGCTTTCCTCATGGAGGGTTCCTGCAGATCGAATTCTTTCCCCTTCTCAAACCGCCTTTGTGGTGACAAAATTTGGGCACGACACTTGAAAAATTCAAGATTCAAAGCTTTGATTTGGACATAGTTTTCGTCCCTATTTCAAACAAAGAAAATTTGTGAGTTTAAACATGGTGGTTGGCTTGTGGCCTTAACTTTGAGGTCTATTGCTCCTTCACTTGCCATGATAACTTTGATTTCCACTTGGAAGACCTTGCTTGTTATTGGTTAACCACTTTCTCTGTCAACCTTATCACAAAAAATACCTTTGATCCGTTCAAACCCAACACTCTCTATCTGTTGCATTGTTCATGAATTGACATATACCGAACCTTTTTATTTCACTTGAATCCCAAAGCACATTGATTGTTACCAACTCAATGTGCTTGCTGTTCTTTCCTAACATATGCCACTAGCTTGTACTAGCCAGAACGTACGCCACTGGCCTGTACTAGCGAGACTCCGCTTTGTGCAATTGGAAGGCTGGTAGCAAATTGTGTAGTAATTTCTCACTTGTTTTGACCAAACAGACTCAATAATAGGAACAAAACAAAAGGAACAGAGTAAAGGACAATGGAAAGAGATGATTCCTAACAGAAAAGCTACAAAGTAGAAACTTATCAAATGTGGATACCGACTCTAATGACCATGACATGCACCTTTGGATTAAGTGGCCTAATTTTCCAAGCAAGTCTAATGTTCAACTCTCGTTGTACCTCTGCGTCGTGAAACTGGGCTTCCATGCTCCAATTATCCTATCTGATTCACGATCCTTATTCGACTTATAGTGCCCGAAGGTTTTCACCATCAAGCCTCTCTCATTTTATTCTTTCTCTCAACTCACCATCGCCTTATGGTGTCTGTGAAAGTTTTTACCAATAAGAGTCTCTCATTTTGTTCTTTTCTTCTTATTTCCTCTGATTCTGTAGATGACAAGACATTAACCATGGTAAAAACATCATATACTCTTGGCATGTCTAAACTCAACACTCTTAAAGATTATCTGGTAGGTCTTTTTTGGACTGCAATATGGCTTTTGGACAAGGTTAGAAAGAAAGGATATCATAAAGGCTCAAAATAACTAAGACAACAGGGTTAATTTATTTATAACTTTTGGAATCCATTCTAACAACTTTGCCCCAATTTCTAAAATGGTGGAATTTGATTCTCTTTTTTTCTGTTTTTCTTTTTGAAATGGAATTTCTAAGAAAGACTGTCCCACTCTCGACTTCGTGGGATTATAAAATATTTTATTTGGTGCGACCAAACCGTAAGGCTGCCTACGTATCTTGTGGTAACAAGAATCAGGTCGAACGTAGTTCACACAGATACTTTCTTGTTATTATTTTCCTCTTTTTTTCCTTTTTTTTTCTTCTTTTTCCTTCTTTTTTTTTCTTTCTTTTTTCTTTTTCCCCTTTTTTTATCGGAAAAGGGCCAAAACTATCCCTATCGTTTGCTAAATGGTTTATAAATACCCTCCGTCCATCTATCCATTAAAAAAAATACACTCCATCCATCTATCCGTTCAAAAAAACACACGAAGTTAATTCTATTAACAAGAATACCCCCGCGACTAACGTCAAAACTGGTAGGTCTTTCATTTAATGACGTGGCGATTTTTAATTGGGCCACGTGGCAATCTTTGACTGGAACAAAAAATGAATATTATTTCAACCCATTTACAAAAATGGGTAGTATCTATCATGCCCATTCCCACTCATCTGATCTCCCCCTTTCTTCTTCTCCAATTGGGACACTGCATACACACAATAACAAATTAATTTAAGAATAGATAAAACCCAAAATCAAATAACCCAAAATTCAAACTAGATTCTGAAATTTCTCCAATCAAACTCACGATAAGTATTGAAACTCTTAAATGGAAAATCAACAGATACATTTGGGTTGTTAAGAAAGAAGACAAGGATCATAACAAACCAAAAATCTGAAACAAAAAAATTGAGCCCAAATGCTAAAATTGTCCAAATATAGCTATCAAATCTAGGAGAAATATTGAAACTTTGAAAGGGACAAGTAATGGAAATATTTGGATTGTTCATAAGAAGACAAAAGAGCCACGAAATAACAGAGAAAAAACAACTACATATAACTGATACAAACACACAAGAAATTTGAAACCAAGGTGCTAAGAAGCTTGAAATTATCACATTCTAGGATAAAGATTGAATGAACAAAGAAACGCTAAAAATTCTTAGTGAGATGAGAGTGGGTGAGAGTGGGTGTGCTGGGTGATAAGGAAAAAGAGGGAGAAAAAGCAAAGAAAAAGAAAGAAAATAATTAGGCAGATCAAATAAATAGGGTCGGACCAGGTAAATGGATAAAAATAAGACCCATATTTGATTCTTGGTCAATAATGCCACGTGACCCAATTAAAAATTGCCACATCATTAAATAAAAGACCCACCAGTTCTGTCGTTAGTCGCGGGGGTATTTTTGTTAATAGAATTAACTTCGTGTGTTTTTTGAACAGATAGATTGACGGAGTGTATTTTTTTGAACGGATAGATGGACGGAGGGTATTTATAAACCATTTAGCAAACGATAGGGATAGTTTTGGCCCTTTTCCATTTTTTTTTCTCCATTTTTCTCTTCTTCTTTTTTTAGAATTTTCCTTTCGGAATGAACTTTCTAAAATAAACCTATGG